AAACTACAGTTCCCAGAATTTCCTAGCATTGAGCCAGGGCAGCTAAAGGGGTCTGAAACTGGATTATTTCTGCAGTGGAGGAAAGCCCTTGGATGTGGGATTTCCAGCATGCTTGCTCAAAAGTCGGACCCTTTGAATCCAATGGGTTTTCCTCGCAAGTAAGGCTGTACATGATGATAGCCTTTCACCTGGATCTAAGTCCTACTGTTTGTATGTAGCAACTTTGAGACTATATGGGCCTTTGCAGATTGCCAGAAATAGTGCAAATTGAGTCCACTTTTAGGGTTAGGGTTAGTGCTAGGGAATCATGGGAATTGTTGTTTTTTCTGAGACATTGAGCCTTCTCTGTCAGAGAGCTCTGGTGCCACAATAAAATACAGTTCCCATGATTCCCTAACCCTAACCCTAACCCTAAAAGTGGACTCAATTTGCACTATTTCTGGCAGTCTGCAACCCCTGAGTTTCCTAGACTTGCTACTTCCTCAGAGGCATACATACTGTATGCATGGTAGGATGTAACTCTCAGGTTAGGATGGGTAGGGATCGGACCCCGACTGGGAGTAAGAGCAGGAGCCAAGTCTGGACTTGTAGGGCAAAATCCAGCAACACCCGGTGTAAGAGTGGAGAAGAGTTACTCCCTGTGAAAGAGAGCTGCCCCATGAAGGAGTAACTCATCTTGGGCACATATTCAGGGCACATTAAGGAAAGGGACTGCAGTGCAAGGAACCTCATGCTAGATCTTCCTTTTTTGCAGACTGCCAGAAATAGTGCAAATTGAGTCCACTTTAAGGGTTAGGGTTAGGGTTAGGGAATCATGGGAACTGTATTTTATTGTGGCACCAGAGCTCTCTGACAGAGAAGGCTCAATGTCTCAGAAAACAAACAATTCCCATGGTTCCCTAGCACTAGCCCCAACCCTAAAAGTGGACTCAATTTGCACTATTTCTGGCAGTCTGCAACCCCCCCCCCCAAAGTGGTATCAACCCGGGTTATTTCTGCAGTGTGGGATGCAGCCTAAGACTCAGACAAGCAGGGAAAAATCTGGATTCCTGGAAGGTGAGCCTCCATCCTACCGGCTGTTGAAACTAGAGTAGACCTGTTGAATCATTTGCTAAATGGTGAATCAACACCTAGAGAAATCCCATCAATTCAATAGATTCTCTAGTCAAGACTGGCAATAGGATCTAGTAGAACCCTGGCTACCATCTTTCACAATCCCTGGATCATATATTGGCCTTACAGCAAAGTACAACAAAATACAAAATCCACAAAACAGCGATACCTTTATGGGGCCAACCGAAATGCGCCAAAAAGCTTGCATGGTGTATTTTGTGCATTTTGGTTGGTCCCATAAAGGTATCGCTGTTGTGCGGATTTTTGGATG